TATGGGATGCCATGACAACGTATGGCCTCGCTGCTGTACCCTAGGGGTGTGAATGAATGCCCTCTTCAGTATGGCCAATATCTCTTTGGCTCCCCGCAATCGTTCTCTCCAGTCATGGAGACCTGTTTAGCTTGGTCTGATACGTTAGTGGATCTAACTGTAGTGCTATTTTGTAGTTGTGTCTCCGGGCTTAATGCCCTTCCTTGTATTGCGATGCCTGGTACCTCACAAGATGGCTGGTTTCAGATGTGTTAAATCAACCACTTATTTATTGAGTTGAGATGGGGTATTATGCTCGAACTCTCTTATGGACGTTAAATCAACGACGTTGCCTATACAATTACATCACGGATATCCTTTTACAAATCGAACAGGCTAGGACATCTATTAGCAGGAAAATGTAGCTACCTTAGGCACCAGTCTCAGTTCATGAATCAATTCACGTTGTTATTTCTGCAGCTGGATGGCTCTATTTTATTGATGGGCCTAAGGCCCTGCCTAGGCCCAGTGACACAGCAAAGCTAATCTACAACTACCCAAATCTGAGAATTCAAAATAGGACACCTTTTGAAGGGGCTCCAAACCGGTGAAGTTTAGATGCTAGCAGAAAATGAAGTTTACACTCCAGCCGGATGGAACAACGACCTATACGCATTGAGAATACCACTGGTTTAGCTGCCGGCATTGACCCGTGGCGCAGCAATTGGCACCATCAAACGACTGCCCGCCGCACTGGCCGAACCTCGCGGCACATCCTTCACCGGAACTCGGAACAGGGGTTTCAGAAGCAACCGGCACAGGAGCAGCAGAAGAAGCCGGGGCAGTGGTTTCATCGGATCCTTTGTTTGAGTTGCCAGAGCCAGAGTTACCACCTCCCCAGACAGCAGGTCCAGGCATCGTGAAAGCCTTGTATCCGTTGTAAATGCTGAAGTTGGCGTAGTCGTCGGTGGATTTATAGGCGCCTGGGAACTTGACCGTAGGGCTTGGAGTCCCGCTGCCGCTACCAGTGACCTTGACCTGAACGCAGGAGACGTAGTGCTCGGGCTGATTCACGTGAGAACGATGGATGCCAATGTGCTCGAAGCGGACGAGGTACTCGCCGGCGGGTGTGTCGGTGGGGATGGTAGCGGCGAGCCAGTTCCTGTCATACGTGCACCAGGCGTTCTTGGTGAAGTCTGCGCTCTGGCTGCAGACACCTTCCTCGAAGATCTTGAACCAGTCGCCAGAGCCATCGTAGGCTTTGACGTTGTCGTTGGGTGCACGCGACATGTACACAAGGCCGGGGCCGGGGTGCTGCATGGTGGCACCGACACCGAGCTGGACGCGGACCTCAGAACCTGCAGCAACAGTTAAGACATCTGTGCTAGCGGCGTTTGTGAAGGCACCCTGGTTGCAGCGAGCATCGGGCCCGTCAATGGTTGAGCCGTCTCGAAGGTCTGCGGCAGGGTTGGAAGAGAATTTGATTGGATTGTACGCGGTTGGTCGAGTTGACTTGCGAACGTATTTCTCGGTAGCAGCCCCGTTGGAGATGACCTTGTCGAAGAAGTAGTGGGCGGAGGCCACATGTGAAAGAGCGCTGAGGACCAGAAGGAACTTCATCTTCACTGGTGTAGAGTGATTCGGGTCTTGGAGTAAATTTGTTTCGTGCAAGGAAGCAGATGAAAACGAAGCCGTCCTGGGCTTGATTAGAAACGAATGAATAAGCTTAAACGAAAGACGGTGAAACAATGGCAAAACCAAGTACAGACTCGCTGATACTAGGATATGGTGAGGAAGACCGTTTCCATGAGGCCATATCGGTGGCTTTATATTTCGATTCCAATGCCTCTCTTCAGCCCTTAGGGGATCTGGTAGATTCATGCATATGCAACCGCCAAGCTTTTGATTGTCGGAGGTTTACGAGCTTAAGTTTGAGAATGGCCTTGGCTCAGCTTCAGCTATCTGAGCTGTTCTAGACTCTGAGTGCACCTCGCTCTTCGTATGCTTACCAAATAAGAGAACCCCTCATGCCAAAGAAGGAAAATCAATTTCCAGAATAAGGCATCGCCAAATGCTATACGATGTTTTTTTCACAAAATATACACTCTTGGACCAGAGATACCAAGATAACGGCAATCGTGAAACGGTTACATCAACCGGAGCCAATCACACAGCCATAAATTGAGCTGACAGCCAGGCTAGGAAACACCGCAGGGTTCCAGAAGCTGTACCTTAATTTCGGAATCGTCATTCCGACTGCACTCAATTAGGTAGGGCTTGCGCTATCACGTCGTATAAACTCCTCTTGCTTCGCAACACCTCTCTTTCTCTCCCTCTCTGCTTCTCATTCCCTCTTGTCGCTTCGTACCATGTCCTTTTAGGGAAGAACCCGCATGTAATGTATCATTGTCAGCTTTGCGTTTCTGTTGGTGTTGTGATATTAGGCTACTGAAGCGTGTCATGTGTTAGGACATTGCATGCCATCCGTCGGCATTATCCGTCGAACGAGACCAACTTTTGACCATAAACTGAGGCCTCGTCGTATTCCACGGTGAAGGTCTAAGACGGGTTTTTTTGTCAGTTTCCTTGCCGTATTAAGAACTTTATTTGTTCAGCAGCTGCTCCGTGTGATATCACCCCGCCTTGTCATAGCTTCCATGTGCAACAGTGTACTTGATCATGGATTCTGGGAGCACGTAGATGAGATTTTCAATTTATGGTATATGAAATTTGGCCGTGAAACATCCAACTTATGGCTACAATGACTCTTCTCAGTTTACATATGAAAGCAGAATATCGAAAGTTCTGCTACTGATCTTGTCCCTCTTGCCATAAGTCTAAAAAGAGCTTTCCAAGGATGATATTTTGCATGTCCTCATCTCTGCAAAGTAAGTAACCCTGGACGGTAAGGTAAAAGCCCGTAATCACCGCCGGAGCTTGGCGATCGCCCCTGATAGAGGAACTTCAAGTTGCAGGGGTCGATTGTCATGGTTTGGTCAGGGTTGCTTCGGATCAACTCGCCATGGCTAATGTCGTTAGTCCAAGTCGCGCCACTGTTTGCCTTGCCGGCAAAGGGATTCGACTCGGTCGCTGCCTGTGGGCTCCACGATCCACCAAGGCTGCTTGCAGTGAAGGAGCGGAAGTACCGTCCTTGTGCCCCGATGGCTTCAACGATCATGAGGTATCCACCGCTGGAAACTGTGTAGACTTGGACAGCCTCAAACAGGTTGTTGGTGGTGTCACTCAATATAATAGTCGATGAAGTGCCGAAATTCCCAGGAAAATTGCCAATTGCCATGCTGCTGCGGTAGATCTTGCCGTTGTCGCCACAGAAGAATAGATACATGTTCTGTGAATCGCCAATGATAGCTTGATCAATAGGGCCGGTTGACGAGTCGGAAATAGTTCCAGAAAACAGCGGCTGCGCAGATGACCAACCATTCGCATTGGTTGGGTCTGAGGAGGTTTTGTAAGAGAACGCAGTTGCTCCCCACTGGTATGCGAGAACCCAAATATTCTTCGGGCGGAAGTAGAAAAGACTTGGGGCGACAGCAGCGGCGCTCATTACATTTTGGCTGGCAGAGCCCATTTGGTTCCAGTCGGAGAAGAGCCCAAAGTTCAAAGAACCCCATTTAGTTCCAGTATCATGATTAGTAGCGTATACAAGATTCTGCCCGTTGTAAGTGGCGTGTGTGAAGTCTTTGAGTGAGACGTATCCAGATTTCGGTTCTGCCAAAGAACCGGTTGATGTCCAGCGGTAAGTCGACGGAAGGGAGCATTGAGCAAGCACGCCCTCCAGACTTGCGAGCAACAATGTTGCGATGCCGGAGAACTTCATCATGATATAAGCTTCTGGTTATCTAATTCTGTTTTAACCAGCTTGAAATGATCTGTAGTCTTGGGGTATGCCTCAGTGCTGCTGGTATCTCATATATATTCGAAAACAGGCTAAATGGCACCCATATACTTCCAGTGAGTTGATTGTCCCAGGCTGTTTTACCACCCCTGTAGCTGCATGGACGTGGTCCTTGGATATGCGTGACATCCTTAGGCCTATAACAGGTCTCACTAACCAATCATCGCACAGAGCGTGATCTCGTATTCATGTGCTGGGAAGATCATGGGGCGGGTTGCCATTGCTGAAACTCCGGGCCCTTTGGTTCCGATCTACTTTGAGCCACTTGGTGGCCCGGTTTCTGCACCTTACTGGTTTAAGAAAAAGGTAAGAAGAAAGCAGAAAAGAACATTTTCTTGGCTCTTCCTGAGGGCGTGTAAGCAGCAGAGCAACGGGATGGCCGGTGCTAGGCTCGATTTCGGTGGACTCATGTGGGCTGGGTCTAGATATTGAGATCTGGGCTTTGGAGACAACCAAACAGTCGAACCCCTTGTAGCCCTAAAAGGCAAAGCATAGCACTAACCTGGGTTACCAGCCCAGGGAAAAGAATGTTACAATTTATAAATCAAACTTAGACCTTGGTAGCCTGCATGAGAGGATACGAACTGCCTAATCTTATATGATCTAGCATGCTCTTTTATACCCTCATTCGGTAATCAACAACGTGATCGTTGATGTAAGCTTTTTCAGACGATGAACGACCTTCCAAGTCTGACTTTACTCTCTTTAACAGCTAGCAATGTCAGTAGCGTTCCTTGCCGATTTCACTTTTTGTTAGCTACGGCTGTGTTATAGACTGATTGGGTTTTTCTACACCTACCATAGCTATAAACTTCTTCACTTCTACGATATATTCTTCATAAACAAGATGCGGGATAAAACTTCTTATTATTTTCCTGTGTCTCAAGGTGTTCTACATACCAGAATAGTTAAGGGGTCCCCACGTCAGACCCTCAAGATTAATCCGTGGCAATGTTGTTCATAAGACGATTGTGCCCAATAGTGTCGAACATATCACTGATTGACTAACCTTTCCCATTGTGCTCCTTTCCGCCACCGCTGAAATTCTAGAGAAAGTTTGACCGATCTCGGATCTCACAAAGAAGGGTTTAATGGTGGCAACATTTCACTGCTGTGAGCTTACAACCTGAGGATCCTCCCGATCGTTCACCTCATCCACTAGGTCCTCTGGGTCAGAGGTTGTTTGCGTATATATGTTCTCCATACATGCCCCAAGCTTCATCGTTTCGGCAAGAGGCGGCAGGATCTCTTCTTTGAGCTTTCGCGAGAGATATCCCATTCCATCTTGATCATGACTCTGAACGAGATGCAGTGCCCAAACTAAACGATTTTTCTGAAATGCGGGCTGGGAGTTCTTCTCCGCAATCTCTTTCAATGATTTCAGGAGATCCCGCATTGCATCTACTTTGGGTTGGAATTCCAATCGGAAAAGCCAATGCATTATGTCATCGTCGAGCTCAACACCAAATACATTTGGGATAGAGGATACCTGCGCAAGGAATTCTTCTTGTTCCAAATCATCCTTCGCCAACAAGGACTTTGCATGACAGTTAATGCATAACACTTTTGACCTGGGGCGTTCAATGAACTTACATCGATTGAGACAGCAACATACTTCTCTCTCAGGTGGTCAATATGCTCCGTGATTTCCGAATAATGATCATGTGCTTCGGCAGTCTTTTCCATCGAAATCTTTCGGAAACGGGAAACTTCTGGGCAAGGTTTCTGGTCTCGGATATAGATCGTTCTGCTTTCGATGAGGTCATGCATCGTGCCATAAGGAAACGACTTGGGCGAATTGTAATTGTCTAAGTAGATTAAATATGCATCCACCTTTCGGGCCCAGACGCGCAGCAAACAGTCATCGAGATAGATAAACGATGGCGATTCAGATCGCAATCTGGGTTCTTCGATCACAGTGATGTCTACATCGCTGAAATATGTTTCGGTGCCTCGAGAAAAAGATCCACAAACGCCGGCCCAAAGAACTCTTTGGAATTCTGGGCGGCGAAATGTTTCGGCGGAACTGAGTTTTAACTTTTCAATCTCATGCAGGACATGATCATTTCCAGCAGAAGCCCTTGAAGGAAGACGTGGAAAGCAGCCGCCGCCAACTCGGAATCCTGGGGCTGTCAAAACTTGCGGCCGAAAAGCGATCGTGGATTGGAGAAGCACATGGGGGGAGAAGGAACGGGGCAGAGCGGCAAACGATTTCGCGGTAGATATCAAACTTGCTAACATCATTGTTTTCAGGTGTGAGGTCGATGCTGATTTGTTGGTTATGAAGCCGATGCCAGCGCGTTGTTCACGTGGTCAGTGCCAGCGCGCGTTGTTTGGGAGGCCGATGCCAACACATTGGTTTTAAATAGGCGAACAGTTCGAGAGTTTGATGGCTGTAGAGTGACTTCAATCTGTGTTTAGGCTGGTGCGGAAGTTCAGGAGGCCTATGCCGAAAGTTTGTGCCAAAGATTGTTTGAAAAGTTGAGGCAGATGCCAAGTGTGAGTTTAGTGAATTCTTATCCACTACCCTTGAGATCGCAGGTAAAAGTAGAAACACACCTCTGACTCACCGCTTTCAAGCCACAGCAATCGAGGGGCAGAATCATATGGTGACGCCTCGTCTCGTCTGTGGACAGGTTGGACTTCACCTGGACTTCACCTGTCTTTGGCCCCTGACATGCTAGCGCTCAACGCACCGCGTTCATTCTAGCTTTTGTCGGCTTTTCTGAGTATAATTTGATGCAAATTTGATTCTCTTCTTTTCCTCATTTTTCTTTTCTGAAGTCATAGTATCTCTTCTCGCATTCAATGTACCTCAGTGACAAACAATGAGAACCCTCAACTCTTTCATCGCGGCAGTTTGCGCACATGAAAACATTGAATGGTTTGTTTGTGATCTCATGGCTCACCTGTCAAACAATAAACAGGATTTAGTTTCATGCATGATCACAACAAAGGCAGCCACAGAAGTGCTGAAAAACTCCCCTCGCCCACCAATCTTTCTCTTCTTTCTTCGATACTACCAATGACTTTTCTCTGGATATTACCACTAAACTTCCTCCACTATTTCTAGTTATCTGACTTGGAAATCAAACTATCATGCGGGCAGGAGCTAAGATTTCCGAAGCAACCCAGAAATGTCTGGCTGCTGCCAGAGTCTCATTGATACAAATTCAACTAAACGTTCGAAATCATCAAATCGATACAACGGTATGTTCACTGTGACTGGTCTCCTATTCTCCTCCGACATGTAAACTAGGAGAGTATGTTAGAGGGCATGAAACGACAGGGAAGCTGATTCTGTTGATCCATAGAAACTGAGGATGGCTCAGCCCTCATCGCCCGAGTACAACGTTCGAGCTACGATCGTCAAGGAAATAGAAGCAATCTCCGAGAACCTCGGTGCGATAAGCGATGTCGAAACGAAAATCCGCTTTCCCAGAGTTTTTGCTGATGCGGAAACACTACGCTTACAACGCAACATATTAGCACATCGGTACGGCCACGGGACGAGGACTGTAGAGTGGTCTGAAGTGATGGATGTCATTCAAAACTCTCTTCCTGCATTAAAATCCGCCTTAGATAAGGCTCTAGAAGGGCAGTCCAATTAATGTGTATCTGGTTCTGGTCTCCTTGAGAAAAGCAGGGGCAACGGGCTGCGAAGTTGCCTCGGCAGAATTATTGTGGCAGCCACTCACATAATAATGCTTATATTGTTAGAATCAAGCAGATTTGCCTAATAACTACTCAATAATTGAGTATTCTTTTTCATCATCAACTACCAACTTATCGTCTATCAATATTATGGGGTGAATTGGAAGGCTGAGATTAAAACATTCTTGTAGTCTTTGTTATTCTGACACCCACTTGTTCATCTCTAAAAGAAAGCATGAAAGGCAGTTCTTTCTCATGTCTTCAAAGTAGGGTCCACGCTAGCATCGCCGAGCAGGGCCATTCTCTTCTCTAGCTTTACGAATCAAACGTAAATGCTTCCTTAAGGACCATCCGTGTATTCAATCTTACAATATCAACGAATCGAGGTCTTAACGGTTGGATAGATAATTAAAGGCGTGGAATGATCATTGCTGAGAAAGACAATGTTACTAGGCAATGCCCTTCCCAAAATTGTATCTACCTGCATTCTAGGGTGACTTAGTATATAGCGAAGTAGGCCATTTGCAATATTTCCATCTTCGTATTCAAATTCGGGGCGTATCGCCAAACCACCCCGGGCCATTCTATCTAATCATCGGTTGCGAATACCTTGAATGCAAATTAAGCAACCACACCCTTTGTCTGCTTGATCTGTTTAACTTTGATATCTCTCCAGAACACGACACATATCAAAGCTCCAGCCAGAAGACACAAGCTAGTAGTAAACATGAGCTTCTGTGAATCAGCATAAGCTCTTTTGATGGCAAGTCGCTCAGGAGAACCCGAAGCGTAGCCGATTTGCACTTTCAAATCTCCATATATGGGGGCAATGTTAGTTCCTTCAGGCAGGTACTCCTTCAACTTCTTGGGGAAAACGCCAGTCCAGATGGCAGCAGACACAGTGCCACCGACTGCACTACCCATACTACAGAAGAGATTCAGGATGGCGATGATGGCAGCAATGTGTTGATGATCAGACGGAGACATCATTGCCATTTCGCCACAGAGAACGACGGCCCCAGATGAGGCACCAGCAAAGATCTGTGTCATCACAATGAGGCCGACTGCAGCCTGATCAGTACGGAAGTGGTACATCAGGCCGACAGCTAGCATCATCAGGGGAACTCCAAGACTGAGCTGAACCCACTTGAAGCGGCCAGACCAGCGAATAATAAAACCAATGGCTATTCCCCAAAGACACTGGGTTACTCTGTGGGCAGAGTTGACGTATCCTGCATCTGCGACATTCAGCTCCCAAACCACTTGCAGCATACTGGAGAAGTAAGAACCCCAGACATTGCTGTTGAAGTATATGAAGATGAACATGATACCAGTCAGGAACACAGTTCGATCCATAAGCAGGTGAAAGGGTATGAATGTCACTGGAGCCACATAGCGCTCATATAGAACGAAGCTGACGAGCAGAAGAAGCCCAAATACAATCATACAAATGATCATGGGGCTTCTCCACCCATTGGCTTTATAAGAGTAAAGGCTGAAAGGAAGCAGGAAGAGAGCCATGCCACCAGCTAAGAGGATACAGCCGACAATATCCACCTCAATGAGGTAATTCTTCACCCCTGCCCAGGTGAGATTATACTCAGGCTTCTGAATAACACCGAGCTTCTCAGCCTTGCGCTGGTTCCACCAGAGCAAGCCAGCCAGAGGAAGGACAGCGACGGGGCAAACGATGGCCCATAGCCCCATGCCCCATCTCCATCCGGCACCTTTGAGCAGAGACTGTGCGATGGGACCTCCGACCCAGGTAAATGCCACATAAGGGGATGAGGCAAAGGCTAACGCTAGAGCTCGAGACTTAAGGCTAGATGTATCCGACATGAAGACAGTGATAGTGTAACTGACACCAGTAGCGCTTGAAATTTGTTAGCGCTTTGAGCTTGAAAATAATAGGGAAGCCAGGGGTTCTACTAACCCAATAGTTGAGAAGACTTGTGCCGCAGCATAGGTCTCAACATTATTACATCCTGCCATCATAATAAATCCAATAATCCAAAAGAATACTGTCACTGCTAAGCCTTGGGGTCGACCCCAGGTATCCAGAATCTTTGACAACGGGATGTAGCATAATCCACCGATGATACTTGAGACAATTCCGATAGTGGCTGTGAGTGAGTGCAACTTGAACGCACTCGTCACATACGGATTGAGGGAACGCTGAACATTGCTTTGAATAGCTATAACAACGTAGATGAGCCAAACACTACACGGTGTAAATCATTAGTGTTAGATACGGCAAAGTTATACAGTAGGTAGGTGACTGCTTCTTACTTGGCGTAGGCGGCAGCAAGATGCCATTTGCTCCAGACACTCGTCGCGCCCTGGATTGCACGAACACCAGCTTGGGCATCTTCGGAGATCTTGTCGCTATCGGAGTCCTTTGTAGGAGGGTCGCTACGTTCCAGGTCTTTCTCTGCATTGACGGTTTCGTCCTTCGCGCCAGCAGCCTGGCTGGTAGGATGGACACCACTTTCTACCGCTTTATCTGATGCCTGGATCGCCATGGTGGGTTAACTTTGACAACAATGACGAAGCAACAAAAGACACAATAATGACGCACTAGTGAATGGGAATCAACCCTTTAAGTATTAATTGACTCACTGCCAAAAGTTCCAGGATTGAGGGTTCGGCGTCGGAAGGCAAACCGGCACAATCGCTCGGAATTAGCCATCCTGCTTGGTGAGTACGCCCTTGGCATGCGACCTTTTCCCTAATGGCATGTGGCCTAGTTGCCTTGTTCGGAAGTTGAAAGTGTTGGCGGCACAGTAGAAGCGAGGTTACCCATAAGGCAGCATGTAGAACGAGTTTACATTGGCTGGTGCTTACATGAGGCTATGTGTGTGGGCGGGTTATTTGCAGGGCAAGGACGTTGGGAGGAAAGTTATCTGATGATCTGATTAAACTAACCCACTGAAAAGAGCGGAAAGTGGACCGTGAAAATATCATCCTTGTTTCCCTTGTGATCATTTGCCACTGTAAATCGTTACAAATCATCCGTAGAACTCTTGGCACTTCATAGGGCCTGCTGGTGGTGGATTCAAAGCCTCAGTTAAGTGCTCTTGAGGTCTCCGAAAGTTCCAAGCGCGTTTCAATGTAGC